CCCATGCTGTGCTATGGGGAACCACTTTGAGAACCTCTAAGCTCAAAATGCACAGGGCTTCCTTGGTGCATGCTTGGCACATCACACACCCTCAAGAAGTTATTTATTGTTGGGGCACCTGGGCGGCACAGTCGGTTAAGCGTCTGACTCTGGGTCCGGGCTCAGGTCACGATCTCCTCGTTCATGGGCTCAAGCCCCACGTCAGGCTCTGTGTTCACAGCGCAGAGCCTGCTTGGGACTCCTCTCACTCTCTCCCTGCCCCTCCTCCACCCGCACTCTCCCCCCCCTCTCTCTGTCTCTCAATAGATAAATAAACTTAAAAAACAAGATACTTAGCGTCAACGTCTTCACCAACTGGTCTCACCAGTATTGCTAATATCCGTGCCGTCACCCCAGGGTTGGGGAGGGAGCTGGTGGAGAAGCCAGGCTGTGGGGACCCTCTTCACTCACGGTAAGTGAGAGAAGATGACCAAATACATGGGACTGGGGTGCCCAAAGAGTCCTCGGCTTCTAGAAACCATCTATTGACTGAATGTTGGCTGGGTTGTCCTGTCTGTTAATTACATTTCTCAGAACAAGAATTCCAGCAAGAAAGTTGGGCAGGCCATGCCTGCTTGGTTTTTCAGTCCTCCTCGTGAGTACCGGGTGGGTGGGCAGGGGATGGAGGGACGTGCCACGGAAGGCGCTGGATCCCGTGTGGGCACCGCGCCTACAGAAAGGTATAATGGGAGACCGGCCCGTTTGCTTGGATTGGCCCACGGTGGGAGGAATTCTGGGAATCTCCGTAAGTGCAGGGAGGACGCTCTGAGCGCTGCGTGTTAAGCACCCGCTAGGAGACCCGCAGGCACGGTTACCCTTTGGCTGCCTGGGACCTCACTGTGGCTCTGCTTGGGAACTGGGTGTCTGTTCCCATACGTGCCAGTCACTGTGTCCAAATGCCGAGGGCTTTCCTCATTTGCTCAGTGGTTGTGACTACGACTCCAGGGTGGAGAGAATGACGGGACAGTGTCACTCAAGACCACTGGCTTCTACACCTCAAGGCTCCTGAGATACGGGCATTAAAAGGCTTTGAAAAGTATAGAGGGATAATGCCTCAGTACCGGCCCTAGGGCTGTTAAATGAGATGTTACATGAACACATTAATCCTTAGTAGTAAGCATTCAATAAAAGTCACTTCTAACAATGATCGGTCTATTAATATTACCGATAGAGGTCAATTTTATAACTTCCCATGACTGACAGCTTCTCTTTCTAGCTAGTCAATGTCATTTTGAAGTCTGAGGGTCGCCTACGTAGGGGTAGACACCACCCCCACTTACAAGGTTTGGGGACACGTTGTTCTAAATGCAACAGAAGTGTCGGTCTATGGGCTTTTGGGGGATCACAGCAGGATCCGGGAACAAATGGCACTGGTCAGGCTTCTTTTCCCAGTCCCTGTACGTGGCTCTGTACTTCAGAAGGTAGTGGCCCGTGCCCTCGCTTGCCTTTAAAAATCGCTTCAGGGGCGCCTGGGTGGCGCAGTCGGTTAAGCGTCCAACTTCAGCCAGGTCACGATCTCGCGGTCCGTGAGTTCGAGCCCCGCGTCGGGCTCTGGGCTGATGGCTCGGAGCCTGGAGCCTGTTTCCGATTCTGTGTCTCCCTCTCTCTCTGACCCTCCCCCGTTCATGCTCTGTCTCTCTCTGTCCCAAAAATAAATAAACGTTGAAAAAAAAAATTAAAAAAAAAAAAAAATCGCTTCAGACACAATCTGCTTCCCCCAGGCGCTTACAATCTAGTTAAGCACGTGCAAGATGTTCCATAACTGACGGCATTCAGTGTGACAAGAAAAATGGAGTTGATGGCCCAAGACAAATGGCCACAGAAGGAAGTGCTACGGAGAGGGAGACAGTATTTTGGTTGGGGGTGCCCACGAAGAAGGTAGTGTTCGAGTTAAGCGGAAGGTTTGGACATGTGTGCTAACTACCCCAGGATACGTAAACACGCAGTGAAATACGGAAGCGTAGAAGCGGTCTTCTTAGGTACCGCGGAATCACTAGTGTCTGGGGGACGGGGAAGATGTCACTAATTAAAAAAGAGATTAAAGAAGAAAAGTAGAACAGCCTGGGGACAGGCTGAGGTGCCGGCAGACATTCGGGTAGACTGTTGAACCAAACATGTGACCCAGAGGTGACAAGAAAGGCACAGAGTGTAGGGGACGCAATGGTGAGATATGATGCCATAGGAGAGACTGCAGATGCCAGGAGATGGAGCGAGGACTTGGAACAGTACGCTGGGACACATGCCCGTTAAGGAGGCAGGAAGGAGAGCTAAGGAGCAAGGCTGGCTCGAACAGCGTCACGGGGGCGGAATCCCGTCAAGGGTGGAGTTTCCAAAAAGGAAGACACGTGTACCCATCCCACAAATACATACAGGGTACCTGCACGGCTGAGGATGACACAGTTCTTATCCTCAAAGAGTAACCCAACATCCAATGTCACGAAAGTCAAATGAGAGCTGAGAATGGCCCAGAGATCTAGACAAACAGTAGGCTCCTGACGGGACCAGAGAGGAAAAGGAATTCCCTTCTG